GTGCAGATCTTCGTGGGTCAGGGGGGTGCGCAAATAGCAGATGCGTGCTGGGAGCTCTTTACACAGGAGCACTACATTACACCAAGTGGCGAGCCCAGTGTGTGTCCACTGGGTCAAGAGCAAGGCGACTGCGATGGCTCCGCCTTCTTCAACCTTACTCAGCGCGGATTCTACGTTCCCCGCACGCTTATTGTTGACACCGAACCATCTGTCATTGGTGAGCACTTTTCACATTCCTTAAAAAGTGCGAATTTTACTTGCAGTGAAAACCTACCTCTTATTGTTTAATTTAACCATGGAGTATACTTGAGGAAATTGAGCAGCAACCTCAAAACCAAAATTTACGGGAAACAATTCGAGAAGTCTCACAATCCTACAATTAATCATTTTATGCTATTCTGAGGTATTAAGAAAATTTTACAGCGTTAATTAAAGCTGGGATTTTTTAGACGAAATACGGATGGGGGTCTATCGAAATCTCTTCCAACCCAGCAGTCTCATAAGCGGCTGTGAGGATTCAGCTTCAAATTTCGCTCGAGGCTACTATGGACCTCCATGTTCAATTATTGATGCTTCGTACAATTCCATTCGTCATCTAGCGGAGGCCTGCGACCTCCTCCACGGTATCATCTGCTATCGAACTTATGGAGGTGGCACTGGTAGCGGACTGGGATGCAGTAAATTTAATGTTAATAATATTTTTACTTACAAATATATAGTAGAAAGTCCTGTATGCTCTAATACATATTGTTTTCGCAAGTGTCCGGAAGACCAACCGATCACCTGCATTTGTGGCTTGTTGCTTAGGGCTGCTACAACACACGGCAGATGAGTTTTGCAAGATTTCGCGCATGGATTTTGGGGTGATTCCTGGCGTTGCGCTGTCCTCAGGCCCCGTGGAGCCGTATAACGCCGTACTGGCTACACAAGTGCCAGTGGAACACGTTAATCTTGTCAGTCTTGTGGATAATATGGCACTCCAGCGCATTTGCTCCTGCCTCCTTAAAATTACCAAGCCCAGCTTCACCTCACTCAACCGCATCATTGCTCAGGTGAGTAATTTTTTGATATAACGCTTTCGTGCCCTAACAGCCTTCAAATACGTGCAAGCTTTACTTACTACTAGTAGAGTGATGTTCGATGATAAATGCTGGTACTTCAGTGGCTGCCCTCCTCTGAATAAATTAAGAAGGCTTTATCCTTGCCCTTCTTTTCTCACAACAGTGTATGAGTGGATTGACCTCAACCTTTCGATTCCCTGGACCTACAACCATCACCATGATGGACCTCTATACCAATCTTGTTCCCTATCCTGATGCCCATTTTGCTATGATCGGGTTTGCGCCATTGTTTGACCTAGAGACAGCCAGCAAGGGCCGTACGTTTATTTTTTTGAATTGCGGACTTATCTCATGTTTGTGCATCTACTTATTAGTGTAACTGTCTGTCACTTTATCAAGCTTTCACAAAATTTAAAATTTTCGTAGAGGTGGATACAACGCAACTTACAGAATCTGTATTCGCTCCCGAAAACCAACTGGTGCATCAACATGAGGAGGAACTAAACATGTATCTCACTTGCTGCCTCTTTTACCGTGGCAATGCGAGTGTCCGTGAGGTCAACACCTGCATAGACGAAATGCGCTCCTCCAACCGTCTCCCCTTCGTTGACTGGTGTCCAACTGGTTTCAAGGAAGGTTTTTTTGCCGTGAACATTATTTTGCACACTTGCATGTGTATAGTGATGAAACTATGTGATTTAAGAAGGGAACAGGGAATGCAACCATCTTAGTAGGCAAATGTCATTTTGCCCACAGGTAGGCATTTCGTATCAGCCAATGACAACCATAGAGGCGAGTAGAATTGGACCTTCGGACACCTCAGTGATGGCGCTGCACAACTCAACCCTCTTCAGAACACCTCTTCACGAGCTCACACAGGCTGTGGAGACACTGTTGAAGCGCGGTGCATTCCTCCACTGGTACAACGCAGAGGGCCTCGAACGTAATGAGATCGAAAACGCTTTAGGCGGACTCAAAAAACTTGAGTCAGACTACAATTCGGCAAGCATTTTGAACTACAGCCAAATTTTCATTGCCACTTGATTGGATTGTACAGAGATAAATCGATCAACTTTTAATTGCAGGATAAAAAGTCGTGAAACTGTATTTAAATACTAAAGTTAAACTGCCACTAGATAAGACCTGCTACTTCAAATTTGGCATTTTAATCATTTCAGCATAGACATTTACATCACATTACTTCTGCAATTTAAACTTTAACTGCGTCTTTCGAGAATTATACGAAGTTTGAATTATGCAGTTTATAAACGCCTCATTGGAACAAAAATTTTCGAGTGAATGCCTGGGAAAGCGTTGTCCATCGGTTCGAGCCAACGTAAATGAGGAACAAGTAAAGACCCGTGAAGAGGAGATCAAGGTAATGTCATGAAGCCAGGTACTAAATTAAAATTTTTACAAAATAAACCATGCATAGGTCACTCTGTGAAGGGATATAAATACTGCGAAACGCACATTCGATTATTTTTTGTTATAATTAATGCGTTTCATAGGTCAATGCGACTCTGCATTTAGCGATTATTTGTCCTTTGGTTCTGCTAGTAAAGGTTTTTGGTAGAGAGAAGTATTAATAGCAGCTCTAAGAACTAGGATCGTTAACCGAATAACATTTCACTGATCTGCCCCTTTTTTCACAGTCTCCATGTTGTGAAAAAACTGATCCATCATCTTTGATGAAGCGCCAAAGAACGAATGTAAGCTCGATTCATTAATGCAATAGAGTTAAAGGGACTGATAACCTCTCTTTTGTCTGATATTAAGTCCATTTTTCATTCCTTTATTAGCCATTTTGCAGAAAAGAATTTGACAAAAATTATCAACCCCCCCATGGGTCGACACAAGGATCACCAGTGAGCTTTTTACATTAACTTCTAAAAGACACCTAATAAAGTGGTTTTGGACCTAATTACTTCGGTTTTAAAGGAGACTGTTACACAAAAACAACGATCACGTTGCATGTTGTAATAAAATAACCCTGGTGCTGTTGGTTTGATAAGATTGTTTAATTTGTACTTGGCAGAAAGTCATCAATTCTTCCAGTCTTTCCTTCCAATTAAAATTTATTATAGTAAAAATGTAAAGAAATAAACAAAAGGCTAAAACTTTAGAAAGTACAGGAAAGAATTCACAACTGTTTGAATGCTTAAAGACATTTGCCATTGCAAGCTTGTCCCTTCGAAGATTTGCCTAGTTAAGCATCTTATAGTTGAAGTCAACTCTGGAGTTGCTTTTAGCTTACATAACTTTTGTTACCAGACACATTCTGAAAGGGGTCAAAGATCGTTTTCAAGATGTCGTACGGATTGCAAGGAACGGGACGTAAATTCACGAAAATCTCCTGTAAGAATTTATACCACTACGCTATTTTTGAGTGTGAACACCTGAAGCGCTTATACTTTGCTCGCTTTAGGCTTCCATAAAAGATTAGCTAGACCCTTCCAAATACTGGTAGTTATTGGCGGTTGATAGGTTTTTAACTCTTCAATCAATAGTCACAAAGTTTTGCATGAACTATTACTGTTTAAAAGCTGCGATTTTGGCTGCTTTTTGAAGCTAATTACGAACATTGCTCCTCGAAATGGATCACAAAAATGCAAGAACACCGGATGCCCAGCCAAGGAATACACAAAAGTGACAGAACAAGAGGCATCTCCGAAGGTAAAATTGCTTTATTGCATATCCTTGTGCGGGTTAGGGATTTACTTAAAGCAGGTATCAGATTGCGATTGCATTTTAAGTTAGAAAAAATTCTTTTAGCGTTCTTTTTATTGCCGATTAATAGTCCTGTGAACCGACAACCAGTAGCCTGAAGACCTACACAAAAAGCTCCCAAACGGTTGGTGCTCCCCAAATTTAGTTTTAAATAATCAACCTGAAAAAAATGTTAAAACTGCGTAAAATTTTCCGTAGATGCAAGGTCCAAACACGTGCAGTGGAAGGTGTAAGACTAACCACGAAGATTCTTCGCGGGAAAATTCTGTAAGCTGTTGTTTTAAAGTTAATGCTTATGAGCATAATGAGAGCACATCTTTCCCTTATTTCTCTTCTTGTATAACAATGTAATATTTTTAATTATAAAACGGGATTGACTTGGGGTTCGGTCTTGTCTGGCAGCCCTAATCTTTCCAACTAAAATGTAGACACAATGTACTGGTGCAGTATGTTCCTCTTGAAGCATGTAAGGACCGATGAGCTAATGACATGACTTGGAGGCAAGGCGACCAAGCATTATATTTTGTTTATATTGTTCATAGTGGATAGTATAATGCAAAACACCAATCACCTTGGCGCTTGACATACTTGTCTAAAATAAAAAAACTCCTGGATCGCCGTCTCATTCATCTCTCTTGATAATTTGATTTGAATGAACTTGCATTGTGTAGGAATTGGATTAAAAGGGAAGAGAACTCGCTTGTCATCATCATACGTGCTTCTCGGTGGTTCGTTATTAAAGTAGCGGTTTTCGATCAGTCGAACAACAAATCATTTCTATTTCGACACATTTTGTCAAAGTTCCAACCAACCATTTGAAAGGTGGCACAACTTTACTCAATTGACATTGTTACTTGGGCACACTTGACATCCTTGCATCAACCATTATCAGAGGGCTAGTGTCAATTCAACTGTTTATAGCTGAATTAGCTTTGCTTTGGCGGTTTGCTTGTCCACCATCGCCAATGCAGCTCCCCAAGCCTTCCCTGGTGTCGAAGGAAAGCATAAAGAGGAGCTCAAGGACAACTGCCATGTCTCAAGGGTAGTTACATCTTGTGGAGCCGCTAAGATCGGGTTTTGACCCAACACCCAATTTTATTTGTCAGCTAGATGGAAAATGTTGTGTGGAGCGGAGACACAGAATTTCTCTGTTTAATTTGGACTTTATTTTAACCCTCAGACCGACTATGAAAGTGAGCAAGAGAGAAGTTCGCGTTGCAGGAAGAGGCGCAGGGAATGGGAGTACAGTTTTCGCAAATGTCTTGTACGTCAAACTACTTTTTGACGGGTCTTAGCTTCAAAATATATAGGCTTTACTGTCCTTGATTTTTGCAAAATCTCTGAAATGAAGCTACGACTATCTTAAATGCACAGTCACCTAACGATCTGCATTACGACGAAATTTTTCTTTTCATGCAAGGGCAAAGGGAGTAGAGAGCCCATTATGATATTTATTTTTCGCCTTTAATTAGAGAGATGAATCAAATGACGATGAAGAGCCTAACAGTGATCCGTTTGACAAAGAAGCATATTGTTCGGAGGTAAAGGATATTTTCAAGTCTATTTAATCATAAAAATCAACTTCCTCCAATTATTTAGCGTCTTGGTCTTGGATTATAGTTTGTAAATTACCACAAGACCAAATTAACACAAATAAATGATTATATGCAAGGTAGGCCAAGTAAACTACGTATCGTAGGCAGTAACTGCGGCAGTCACATTTTTTTATGTACGATCCGCAAACAACTTTTTGAAGCAGAATAAATTTGGAAGCCGTGGTGCCATCATGGAATGTAGCAGGATTTACTAAGCAATTAATAGATTATTGGTTTGTGTTTCCTTGATCATTGCGAGCAGAAAGTGGAGCCCAGTTGCTGGACTATTCAACAAAGTGAGAAAATGATGGAGGACGGGAATTGCAGTCCGGTACCGGAGGTAGTGCTTTTATGCCGTCACTTTTTATGCTTTGAACGTTAAGAAGTTAACAATATGAACGGCTCGAAAACGAATGAATTTATTACATGATTAAAACGTATATGTCGGCGAGTGTCTAAATTATATTGTCTCTAATAGTGTGATGGATTTTTGAGGAGTAAACTTGAACCTACTTTGTATAACAATGCTATAGTAGAGTGCATTATTGTAGTCTACTACATAGGATTCTTTTGCAACTTTTTGCTGGTAAGTAAAGTTTATCGAAATAAGAACATATAATTGAAGAAATTGAGTTTATCTAAATAGATTATTAGGCGGTTGTTTTATCTGAAGGTCATCTTCCTTATCGCAGGTGCTCGCTTGTAGAGGCTGTGCGTCCCCACCATCACAATATTCGCGTAGGTGTGATGTAAGCCCCACAATAAGCCTTTTTTATTCATTTTAATCTCAGTGGGACAGATACCCCACTGCTCACTTACTAATGTCTGTGTATTTTGTTTAATACGTATAGTGCTGTTTTTTGATGTTCTAGGTATCCTATCAAAATAAGCACGAATGTTACGAAACCTCATTGCGAGAGGCACTCGTAAGTTTTAAAACAATATTGCCAAAGGTTCATTTTTGGTAAATATGTCTTCATAATGCAGTTTTAGTGACCTAAATTCCTTTCGCACTGAGGCTATACTCAATGGAGGCTATGTATGATGGCACTGATCATTACCATTGATCTACAAATGAGCAGAAAATCAAGTAAAACAACAGCTTTGCAAATGATTAACATGGAGTTGCCCTTCTTCTAGGCGGGTTGGAGAAGAACTTTTCGCACCTTAGTGTCCTATTGATGGGCTCCTTAAGAGCTATCTCCCTTCAGCACGTTTTACAGTCCTGCTCTCTATGTATTGAAGCAAATAATAGACCGTATAGTCACTTCTCTCCGAAGAAGGAACCACTTTAGTTTTGTAGAATGGCATTTGGGCGATTAAGTTTGGAATCACATAAGAACTAACGTTAAATATTTTCGTACGTAGGAGGTCATTGACAGAGCCTATGAGGCTTCTCAGTGCAGAAGTGGAATGAGTGATGAGGAACCGGAAATCGTCGTAGAGGCCAATTTCGGTCCTTACGACACGGATTCCACAGGCCAAAGCGTAACTTTAATTTGTGCACCCCATACCGCTTATAACATTCGATTGAAAATTTTGAAATTCTTATGCAGGACAATTATCGAAACATCTACATGAATGAACCGGCTCCAAGGGCGCCAAAGGTATTGTTACTAGCTATGTTGTTTGTGGTAATCCAAATATTTATTTCAACGAACGGTCCTCCCACTCCCTGATAGCGATTCCGTGGAAGACCCAGTCCAGGCCATAGTTGTCGAAATAACAAGGGGAGACACAATGTTGAAGTGAATGTAGGCAAAAATAAACTACGTGGTTTTCTGCGACAATTTTCGCCCACACAGCTGCCTGAGGACACCTCCTCAACTTCTATGAATCTCTCAATTCCCTCTTCTTCATCATCTTCTTTGTCGAGACTAAGAAATCTCCTCACCGTCCATTCACCCAAATGCCTCCGAAGAAAGAAAGGGTCGCATTCCAGCTCCATGGCCACCACAGCCAATTTTGCTACGTCTGCGTTGTAAGCGCCTAGCCTCCTCTGTCTCTTCGCCACTTGACAGCGCCGGACAACTAACCTTCTACAGTGCATAGGGGAAGAAATAGCCTGCCACTGAGAATAGCATTTGGTTGTTGCCATTGCATTAACAAGCAACGAGAAAAAGATAGATTCTTAAAACTAGACATTTGCGATATTTTTGTATCTACGTCCCCCATTGTCAGTGAACGACGAGAATGAAGCTGGAAATCTATGCTAAAAATTTTAAGACTATAATCGTCCCGCGCCAATGAAATAAGAAGTTGCTACTCTTAGCCATCGCTTATAAAATTTCCAAATACTCCCGCCCTCTTACCCATTATTAATGCAGATTGAATGAAGAGATTGTGCGTGAGTTGGAGAGAAGTGTCAAGAGCGAGCTCTCCAGCGTATTGGACGCCCTCGGTCACGTCGTGATACCGACACCCCGAGTTCCGACAAATGGAACCGACCAGCACCACCACCGACACCGCCACCACCGCCACAATCGCAATAGATGAAACAATATCAGCACTAGGAAGTGCCGATCACAACATACCCGCATTATCTTAGTTGTGTTCCTTCACTTCATCTTAACATTTTCTTATTCTTAGATTGTCTTTTAATTTACTCCGAGGTTATATGTTTTTCGATAACATGTATTGATTTGGATCAGTTACTTTTGAAATACAATGGACCTACTTTTCTCAAATTCATTTATTTCCGCACCCGAAGGCTACGATGAAAGGATTTAACAAATAGCTTCGGATCATTCGACGGCTGGCAAAAATTGTCCGATGAATTCTCGGAAGGCCTCCTTGGCAGCAGCGTTGGTTGGAATCATATGACCACCTGGATGCACGAGGGTTTGCGGAGCCGCATAAAAGGGCAGTAGTTCCTCAGTCATTTCTAGAATAAGGGTAGGTAGACAAATGCACTATCCAAGTGGGAAAAGTTGGTCAACAAGTAAAACAGACAACAAACCTGGAGGGATAATCTTGTCATCCGCCCCATAGACGAGGAGAGTGGGCATTTTAATAGACTCCCTGTAAAGTGGGTCATGAAGGCTGCACCGACTTTTGAAAGTGGCAACGAGAATAGCAAACTTGACAGTGGGTGCATTCCACTCTAAAGGGAGTTAGATCCGTTATACAAAATAAGTGGGGAAAACCCTGTGGATGCTGCTCCATTAAAAATTGGAGGAGAGTGACGAAGGCAGCGCCCTGACTAAAGGCAAAGATACCGTCGAAAGGGCCCTGTTCCTTGAGTGCATTCTTTACGACCTCTACAGACTCGTCAAAACCTCGCAGAAAGTCTGTAGAATCAATAGCTCTAAAGGAGTTGTCACTTTTTGAGAACCACCAGCCGCGACCCTGGTCCGTGGTGTCATCACATGGGATTTTTAAGGGAGAGTCAATGTAGACTGTTGAAACAAGAGGACAGTGGAAGGTGATATGGAGGGCGGGGAACTTACCAAATTCACAAGAATTCTTAAGAATCTTGCGGAAGGAACCAGATTTCTCACGGAATCCATTTCCCGATTGGCTTAATAAGTTGTTGTTTAATGTCACTACTATTCAGGAGTAGTAACAGTAGCTTACAGCCATTTCTTCATCTCTTACATTATAGGGAGTAGGGGTTGATTTTAAGAAATATGAAAAGCGCATCAATAGAGGAATAAGAAGATAATTGAAAAAAGCAAGCCAAATGCGAAAATCACCGGTATCCGTGAATACAGAGAATCTACAAGTAACAGCATTAAAGCATGAGCAACATACCCTCAGAGTCATCGTCCGGAGACGCAAACGTACACTAAATCAAAATCCGCCCACGTAGATGTCAAGGTTGTTCAAAGCCATAATTTCCTAATACAAAACATACCATCAAAGTAGCCTAACTATCGACTATCACGCGAATGTTTTTGAACTTAGTAGGACTTTGAAAAAAAAATATCGGTTCAATTCTTTAAGATTTGGAGTCATTTCTACGGTGCAGTACCTAAATTCCGATATTTAATTATTTTGCAAGAAAAATCCTTTCGGTAGTAGTTATTGTAGCATCTAAACACTTCCTTCAAGTGAAAGGCAGCACGTTTGGCAGAATATATGTGCACTAAGAGAAGAATGGACAACCCTTGCATCTCCCGAAGGCCAGTCAACGCGTACAGAGGCAAGGCGAACACAAAAACAAACCTCAGATACCAGGTGTTTACATCAGCAAAGCATTGCACATGCAACTATAACGGTCGTTCGTGTAGTTCAGGGATGATTCTACAAACAAGGGAATGCAACAATAGTATATGGGCAAACGAAATCGTCAAGCGCCTGGCGTGGTGCAAGGTACCAGCCCACCTAACCATCCAATGCCATCAACTAAAATCACACAACATTGAGAGCAAGCCCGTCGCAACTAATTACAACCTAGTTATCTGGGTAAGTCGTGTAGATCGTGTCCATCCGGATAGGACACTACCTGATGCCTCTGATGCAAAACCAGACGCACACTACCGCGAACCTGACCATTTGACATTCCCACAAATTAATGCAAGGGCAACCAAAGGCGTCAAAAGTTAGCCCTCACGACAACTCGAGCGGGGGACCATACCGCAGCAGATAGGGAATAACAGTTACCTTGCCTTCCACTTCTGAGGGGCAAAATAAAGTAAGATCAAAATGTCTGAAGATTCAATGAAAGGAATACATAAGCGCACACAAATGCACGGGGAGTCACAAAAACAGGGAGCTTATCAAAGCTGACTAAAGGATAAGTAATATTATGCTTGGTCAATGGGTTAACGACATCGACACGAATCGGTGCGAAAAATGAGACCGTAATGAACCGTTTACTTTACTTTTGCCACTGAAGTCGAAGATGCTCCTGACGTTGCCTTCTGGGTCTCCAGCTGTTTGCCCAAATACTCCCTACATTAAAACAGTACGTCAGTATATGTCTGACATGATCCACTTAAAACCAGTCAGGCACTTACCAGTTGTGCACCATGATTTTCTGCAGAGCCAACAGCGCGTTGTAGCGCACACTGGGGTCATGATGTTGAAGTAGGGACATCACTACCTGCTTTCCACCAAGTTGGTCAATAACCCTAGAAGCAAGACGAGCTAAGAGAAGAACCCCACTTACTGTTTGCCTCGTGGGTAGTGGCGCACAAATTCACCCACGTCATGCGCTGCTACTGAAAGGATCACTGTCTCCGTAGAGCTCTCCATCAGGTAAACGAGCATTCTAGGTGTAATCAAGCCAAAAAATTCTACACAAACTTGTTGGAACTAAATAAGATGAAATCATGATTACGGTGAACGATCTGAGGAGTTGAGTCTGACTTCTCCAATTTGAAACAAATTGGTGCATAAGACACCGACTTTTTTGGTACCGAACTACAAACCAGAAGCTCATTTCGCGAATTTCAAACTAGAAAATTTCGACGTTTTCTGTCAAAAACCCACACTATGGTTTAAAAAGAGCATCCAAAAGATTCATCTAAATCTTTTTCGTTATTCACCACATCTACTTTCAACTGCTCATAAAACACCTTAGATGTTGGTCGAATTGTAAGAATGCTGACATTCAAGGGGTGTCGTGAACTACCAACAAGTAACGCCGAGTTTTCAGCTCTCGGGTGTTTCAAGCTGTATGTTGCGCTACTTTCCAAGTAAAATCCCTTTTTAAGGTTCGCAATAACGTCAACTCACTTTAGCAGTTCATAATTGTTTTCTGTAAACTTAACCGCATTTTCACGCCAGAATTTCTCTGATTTGTGCACTGGTGACCACTCCAGCCGACCCGAAGTCAGCTCCGTGGTGTACTCTTCCAGGCTGCTCACGTCTTGAACACTGGCCTTCAATGTCTCCTGAAATACCAAAACAATCCACCAATGCAAATCCACTTCCCGAACACATTAAAAAGAACCTCCAGGGTTAGCCAAAAAAAGAAATTCCGTCAGAGTCAAAGTAACACATTCAACTTTTAAATATATTTATCGTGAAGGAAGTAAAAGTATCCAACCAAAACTATGAACGAGTTCGTAATGAGGTAAGATTACTGCTCTGGAAGCTAAATGGCTTAGGAAAGAATCCATATAATAAAATTAAACAACTAATTAAATACCATCAGACATCAAACTAATGAAGAATAAAAACCTGCAAAAACTTGAGATCCTCAGTCATCTCAGGGTCATGGCTAAGATCCTTCTGCGAGAGGAGTTCTAGCCGTTTCAGAGCCTTGCACTGTACCATCCGCAGCGAGCATTCTCGCATCAATGCAGGATCATCCAACTTCTCCAATACAGACTGAAAGGAGTATTTAAAAAGAAGCATCAAACAAAAAGCAAAAAATACATCAAGGGGACGGAAAGTAGAAGCTCACTCGCAGAAAGGCCATGCAAATTCGCAGAACCTTTTCCCGCTCAGCATCGCAAAAGGCGTCGCAAACAGCAGGCAGAAGAGTTGGATTTCTGGCAAAATAGAAAGCAAATGAGCACCCGTTAATATGAAGACAAACTTACTTCACCATAATTTGTACCAAATCGCCGTTAAAACTGAGACACCAGAGGCAGAATATGAGCTGGTAGTAGAGTTCGCAATTAGTTTCTTTGTTTGATAGTACCCTGATGAGCCTAGACCATGCAATTGCAAAAATTAGCATGAGACACCTACACGTCTACGCCCTGTTTTGTCACAAAAGTACTGCGGTAGTCGCGAACACGAAGAAGCATCTGCAAATTACGAGCCACTGTTTGTAGATACTCATTGTTCTAAACGCATGTAGAGATGCGATAAAGGGACAAACGGGTTGTTGAAGTTTTTCCAGAAGCCAATCAAAGAAGTAAATTAGCGACTTCTCGTCAATGCGCTGAGTGGACCAGCAGGCGAACTTGGTGATTATCTTTGAGACCTCGAAACGTTGGGCATTTCAGAGAGGACTATACCTGGTAAACGCAAATAAGGTCAGTTCTTTGAAGGAAGTTAAAAAAATGATTCCAAATATTTTCCGACTTTGAATCAAAGTACTGCCGAAACAGCTCAACACGAGATGTTTCTTCCTAATTTGGGAAAAGTACTCAAATGGGATTATACTTTTAGGATATCATCCATCAAGGAAAGTAAGTACTGCAGCGTCTGCTCCTTGGAAATGCGATTCAAAATTGAGACAAACAAGTGCGCAACCTGAGAAACGCGTCAGAATCAGCAAATCGCATACCTCGCCTTTAAATTCGTTAACCACACGAGTCCGAGCTTCTGTGGTAGTGGCGTTATCAAGATGCGATATGAAATCAAACTGCTTCTGATTGATCATCTGCCCCCTAAAATCAGGGTCCATATAGCCAACTATTCAACTACTGGAGATAGGACTGCCAATTAACACGAGAAAGGCGAATCTCTGCGACTTTCCCCTCTAGGTTCGTCATTTCAATACGCCCCTGAAAAGCTAAATTCGGGAGTTAAAAAAACAGAAGGAGTACCCCCATAGTCAAGATCTTGTATCGTGGTCTTCTCCAGCCCGACACTATGAGCCATGTCGCCAGGATTGTGCAGACAAACCGCATAAATTGGGTGACCCTTACAATGGATTTCAGCAACATGTTCATGTAAAGAATACTAAACCGCATTATTTTGAGCCGTGTGAGACAACTGATGCTGGCTTTTACTAATCAATATTTATTCGCTGCAAATCTACTATTGGGTCTGGCTGAACGTAAGGGAACTTTGGCAGCATTTACAGCTCAAATGCTTAACGCGCATTCCTTAAATTGCTTTGCAAAGCAATATGTCAAAGTCTCAACAGCAGGCTTTTGCAAATGAAGTTTAGGCACGTTTCAGTGAAAGGACTAGGGTCTTCTATAAGTGTTAAAATTCCACTGACTCCAAGCTTTATTTTCTCCTAAAGAAGTAAGGCTGATGTGGACAAACAGAGAAGTTGACGAACCTCTAATAAATTCGCAGTTAATATTGTGCACCCAAAATAGTAAAGCAACGTGTATGGCTAGTCCTGATTAGTCCTACAGCTACAACTTTCCTCTTTTGCAGCACTCATTGATTTACTAAAACAAAAAATGAGGCGCTACACAACCAGTCAACCGGCAGCATGGGCGCACGATGATAATTAAATTGGTTGTGAATGTGTGAGCAGTAAATCAAAAGTAGGACTCCGTATACATGAGGGCGTGGTTATGGGTATGATCAAAATTTCACGTCGACATTTTTGAGCACTTAAAAGTGCGCCCATTGATGTTAATGATCATTGGTTGGGACAAGTTCAGAGCTTGTGGCTGAGGGCCTACAAAACTTAATGTGAAGGTTGAAGGCAACTGGTCTGGTGACGTAACGGGCATAGCAATACTAGGCTTCATGCATGACGGTCCCACCCCTGTCGGAACAACAGGCTCCGTCTTCCACAAGGCTACCGGTGGCGTTGAGAGGGGACTGTTAACATTGGGAGCCTCACTGTCCTGCAGTTCGGCCACAGGTGATGGAATTCTAGCACACCGTAACACTTCATTTTCCATCTCATCTGCAGCCTTCATTTCCTCTAACATCTCCATTACCTTTTTGCACATAGGCGATTGTAGCTCTGCATCGTCACCATCCACACTTGCCCTCGAGGGCCGACAGATTGGAGGCGATATGCAGGCTCTAACCTGCTGTCCTAAGCTCACTGGCGGCGGCTCAGGACGTACAGCTTCAACAATGGAGGGAATAGTGTCAATCAAGCACTTCATACCTGAGCGGATGTCCGCCAATTCCTCTGAGAGTCCCTGCAGCTGAGCTGCTCCAGAGTCTCGTGACAGCTGCCCTAACACTTCTGTCTGCTTCTCCATGAGAGTGCGCATGTCCTTCTGGATCATAAGAATGGTCTCTTTCATTTCACAGTACTTTGGATCGTCCACAAATTTTGATGCAGTGCGTGAATTAATCGACATCTGCTCCATGTTCTGGTGAATTTCATCCCGAGTTGTTTTTGCACAGGAATCTGTGGATACTGCTGGTGGAGGTGGAACGTTTGGCTCCGAGTTCCGCGACTGTACTGTGTCGCGAGTCGGCAGACTCTTGGACTTTTCAGGGCAACTTTTTGAGTTGGATCTGGGAGTAGTAGCAATGTCTCCGCTTCTTCTAATTCCCGTTAAACTATTTAAAGTTTCTTCATTTACTATCCTCTTGGAACCGTTCATCACAAACATGTTAACACTGGGCCGTTGAGCAGTCGACGATGCCCTTCCTTCAATAGAAATAAGACTTCCCTTAATATCCCTTAAGATGTCCATCATAGTGGAGTCAGCTGCGCTTCTTTGGCTTGCACGACTCTTTTCCATACATCGAATGCTAGCTCGAATTTCGCCAAGCAGGGAGGCCACAGCTGGATTTAATTTTTTCTCTGACATGACAGATTTTGTCTCCAGTCGACTCACTGACTGGCGCATCTCATTCAGTGTCGCCATCATCTGTTTATTTTTAAGATCTGATTTTTGGGCATTTTCAATTTCAATGGAATGAATACACTGCTGAACGGATTCCAGCATTGCCATCATCTCCTGGTTCGCCTGTTCTTGAGCTGCATGAGTTCTCTCCTCTACACTTGCGATAGTTTCACGTATTTCCTCAAGTGCATTTAGCACTTCTGGTTGGACTGGTGTTTGCTCCTGTTGAGCAGTACTGAGAATCCTAATGCTATCTCGCACCTCTGTGAGCATTCTCAGAACCTCGGGGCCTGGACTGTTTGCATCTCTGCTTTCGATTGCACAAATGCTTTGACGAATTTCATTTAGAGTTATAAGCACTTCGGAGGCCTCCATACCCTCCTCCACTGGCGTGCTACGCACCCCCATTTTTGACTTTTGACCCAAACGTGTGGCACAGTGAGGCGAGAGTCTTGAACTTGGTGATCGAAAATCCACATTGGGATCCACCATCTCCTCCACCGTCCTCGTTATCAAACCATACGCATTTCTTGGTCCTGCATTATAAACACACTTTACAGCCTCATGGGCATCCGATTCGTAGCCTCGATTAGGTGAATTTAAACTACTGTGCATGTCGTAGAGAAGTTCAAGCACTTCTGGATCAACTTTCATCTGTACCTTGTCTTGTTTTGTTTCAATGTTTTGCATACTTTTGTACACCTCCTTTAATGTCTCCAGAATCTGGACTTCCATGGGCTTCTCCAAAAGCCGATCTTGATCCACTTTTGATGTGCTGCTTTTAGCACACTTTTCGGGCACTTCAGTCCCCCTAAAGTCTTGAAGAGTCTTTGTTGAGGAGTGTGAATAAGACCGTTTAGTTTGAGCAACGTCATGCATTCCTTCGGACTCCTTTTTGCTTTGAAGAGGCTCTTTATAGGCCGAAGTCTGTCGGCTGTAAAGAGGTGGATCTTGGGACATGCTGTTGCAGGGTTGTTTACCGTAAGATGCCTTCAAGTAGTCCTGAGCACTCTGAAGAAACTCCTCCCCCGCCGGGCCCATAGCGCTGATTTTTGCATATAGTGTCTCCGGACTGCAAGTTTCAAGTTGAGAGGTCAGTGCATTTCCCGTGCATATAGTCAAGAGCTTTGCACACAATTCCAATGGATTGCCAATTGGACTGCCCGTCTTTGATCTTGAACTGCGGGAGGAGTGAGACCTAAAGGAACGCAGTATTTTGGAGAGTTTGGTGAGCTTACGACTGCCAGTTTCCATGTCAGTGGCAAGACGCCTGTCTTCATTTGGAGCACAGCCATTGGATGGTGGCACCAATTGGTCCTTGGAACTAGAGCATTGTGGTTGGACAGAAGGTCGACTCGTGGCAGAATCCATCCTCGTTTGAAGCATGTTTACATCCTCAATACAGTATGGCTCGGATACTGCTTTTGAAGTGATCGACTCTGACTTAACTGGAGGTGGAGCGTTTGAGCCTCGGCTACCACCTTTTAGTTTATCTCTGTCCGATCCAGCAGATGACCTCTTTGATCTTGATCGTTCGAGTACCTTAGATTCGCTAACACTCTTGACACAGCTTGCTTTTTCTCTGGTAGGCTGATTGCTGCGTTGACTTCCACTGGATTTGTTTGAAATGCGAGAATTTGCACCGGATGGAGCCATGGGCGAATCGTGAGGTGAGGGCGATCCTTTGGAAGATTGAGTATGCGATCTCACAGATGCTGGTCGCCGATGTTCCGCATTACTGGATCCACTGGCTTGAGATTTTAAAGAACGCTCCATAGAATGACTTGCATGTGCCCGTCTTAAGGACGAATGTTCTTCTCGAGGAGGCATTTTAAGACTGTCTGAGCATTGCGACACTGCTACTACGGGTTCCACAGGATCCTTTAAAGAGCCAGATTCCACAACAGCATTTGGAGTGGATGAGTTTTCACACGGAGCTGCTTCCTGAGTTGATGGAACTAGCCTGTGAGAAGAGTGTGTTTGCTCCATCTCAGGTGGAAGCAGTTCAATTGAATTCACTTTCAAGGCCGGTAGTCGGACTGTCGAGTGGCAGAGTTTGTCTGATTTGCAGGATCCCTCCCTTAGAGATCGTATACTGTTTTCAACTTCACGCAAAACCGTTGATACATCTGAAGATCGTGGCAAACACTTGTCAAGGGATTTGTAGCTGAGACTCTCGCTTATGACAGGCTCACTCAATCGAGCCCGGATCTGCCGCAGTACGGTCTCAATGGAGGTAATAGTGCTCTCCCTCAAGCTTGCATTGCATGTTTTTGCTGATTCCACAAGTGTGTTCTTCAGGTCCTCCAGAAGCCTAACAAGGGCTTGTGAACACTCAGTTTTTGAATTATTTAAGTCCATTGCCTCTCCAGGCGATTCCGAGTCGTTCAAATGGAGACCATTCTCTGCAGAACAATTAAATTGCCATCTTTCACCAACAGCACCAAAAGTAAGGCTTTGTGTTTCACTAGCTACCCTCGCCCTCCTCCTCTTTCTGCTCTTTCCATTCCTGAAGTAATTAAATGAACTTGAAAACAATCCCGAGTGAACACAATCAGCCTCCTCCTCCTCCTCCTCCTCCTCACCCTCCTCCCCCACATCAGTTGTTCGTCTAGGCATTGAAGTTATCCATGCTGTGTCAACCTCCTGCATCCTCCCTCCCAACGGCCTCCTCGTGTTGCATGCACAGCATCTCCCCGTGAAGATCGATAGGGTTGGCTAAATCATGTGCCCTTGAGAGGCTCTCCTTCGCCAAATTTTGGACAAATTGACCCCCTCTACAAGCAAAATTATTTGCCAACGATGTGTAAAAAGCACTGATTAAAAAGACAGAAGTAAGCATTAGCATGAAAGGATCTTTTATTTTTTCGACATTCAAAACATTGACACCAAAGTAATTCGTTATGTTTCCAATGCCGTAGAGGTATCAGCGTCAATTAAGTACATTGAAGTGATTGATTTGCTGATGACGGTTGCATCAAGCATCTATTAATGTCACAAACATTTCCATCAGTTGGATTGTCTTTGTTTTGATTCTCATCATTTACGCCTGTTTGAACAAAAGAGTTGGGTAGATTGTCGGGTCGAGCGCCAGCAAAAATG